ACTTGGGCAAATTTGAAACCTTGCTTATCTATGTCGTTTGTGGTAAAACAATCACTAGACTGCTTCTCTAGTAAGCTTGCCATACTGATCCGACCAATTTCTGATTTCTTTCTTCAATTTCACAATCTCCGGCATGGCGTCTCTAACCCGACCGGCTAAGTTATCGGACTACCTGTATTCTGTAAAAAAAGTGAGCTCTTGATATAAATGGTTGTGAGTGATATTTGGGATTGCAAAGAAAATGGTAACTTCTAAGGTGGATTTTAAAGAAATTTAGTGGGGGGAGTAGGGATTTTGAGAAGACGAGGAGAAGGCAGTGCTGAAGTGAGGGGGTTTGGAGAAGATGGAGAGTGGGTGGGGGTGGATTTATAATTTCGTTTTTATATTTTAGACTTTTTTTTACTCAATTAATTTATACTCACGCGCCTAATTTAGGTGAATTGCATACAGTATTGCCACATCACACATGTGATTTCCATATGAGCATAGTCAACTGTCAAAGGAATCTATTAATATACAAATATTTAAGTTGAGGTGTTAAAATGAAAAAATTCTAAGTTTCTTTACCGGGTTTAGGTGGCCTGGATACCATTTTGCCTTTGTAAAAAGCCCAAAGGAAAGTAAGAAGAAAAGGGGAAGAACCGAAGTGGTGATCCGCTAGCTCAGTCGAAGTCAGTAGCCCAATCAGCCCAAATTTAATTCTGACCGTAAATTGGTAAAATATATCTTGTCTATTAAATTTTAACAAGTCTTCATCCTAAAGCGGCCCATAATTGTCACTCCACTAGATTACACAAGTAATTGCAGCCAAAATTAAGAGAAAACTATCCTCTATAGCCCCTCAAAATTTTAGTAGCCCATATATTTTTTCACTGATACGAAATGGCTCTTCGACTCAAACTTATTGCATCTAATAGCCCGAAATATCTATTTTGTATATTTTTTGTATAGTGACAGTCTGTTTTGTATATTTTTTGTATAGAAATAGTCTATTTAGTATATATTTTGTATAGTAACCGTCTATTTTGTATATATTTTTTATAGTGACAGTCTATTGTATATAAATTGTATAGTGACAGTCTATTTAGTATATTTTTGTATAGTGATAGTTTATTTTGTATAAATTTTGTATAGTGACATTCTATTTAGTATACTTTTTGTATAATGACAATTTATTTTTGTATATGTTTTGTATAGTGACAGTTTATTGTATATAAATTGTATAGTGACAGTCTATTTTGTATAATTTTTGTATAGTGACAGTCTATTTTGTATATATTTTGTAATATACAAATATTCAAATCTATTTTCACTGAAAATAATACATAAATATTCATGTAAATATATACTAATGGTGGGCCTGAAATTATGATTCCCATCAAAATTAACTAATGACATACATGTGGAAATGGAAATTTATTTGGTAAAAACCAAAAGATTTCCCTAGCAAAGAAAGTTAGCCCAGGAAAGAAAAAAAGGCAATAACATAGAGCTTGGGATTTGCCCTTCTCTTTAGCCAGTGACAACAAATAAAGTTTAAGCAGTAATTTGGAACATGCAGGACAAAATTCCTAATATCGATCTCTGAAGTAACAACAAATCAAACCAAAAAAGAGAGAACTAATAATAATAAAAAGAAAAAGGGGAAAAAAATAAAAAATTGCAATGGAAGATTTATTAGCACACTATTTTCTGCAAATTTAACTCTAGCACTCATCCTAAGTAGCAAATACGGTAACAGTTCTGCCCTAACTCTATGGTAGATACTTTACACATATTTTTTTACTGCCCCAAATCTAATCAAATATGGTCTTTCTTCAATAAAACTTCACCATTCCCAGCAAAATATGGCACCTTGGCTTAAAAATTTCTGCCAAAATGACTCCCTTCTCTCCATCCAGCATGGTGTTCATATTCCATATTTTGTGTTCCTTCCAATACAGGGACCATTTTCTATGGTCCAGTTGCGTAAATGGAGCAATACAGGATACGACGGTCATCAGGTGAAGGCGGTCCCCTCGGGAGTGGATCATGACGGAGGGCGTTGATTGGTGGTTCAATACGGAGGCGGCACTTGCGACGGTGGCGTTCGACGACGACTTCTTCGGCTGAGGAAAAAGGGTATGATCTTGGGCTAGCCTTTTAATTAGTTTTGGGCTGTTAATTGTATGGAGTTATTTTGTGGCTATCAGGTGATATAAATTTGGCCCTAGTGGTTACAAATGAACTTTGCTCCAAAATTAATCACAATAACTGCGTCAGTATGTTCTACTTGGCTAGTATTACCCACAACATTTTTCACAAACAAGTACTCTCTTACACCCAATCTTATAAAGAAAATAATGAAAATTTAACGCTGCGACAAGCCAACAAGATTACTCAAAATCATGATACTGTAATTTTGTAAACTCTTGAAGATCGAACTATCCTCTAAAACACGACTACCAAACACGACTTTGGTAGTGTTTAATTCAAATTAAGGTAATCCAATCTATCAATATTGTTAATCAGTATTCAGCTCTCTCAAACAGACCCCACAAAAGTCCAATAAGACTTGTTTGGTAAGTTCAAGAATAGGAGATGAAATTATCAAAACAAGACAAGCATTAACCCTTTTTGGCTGTTGCAGGTTGGCAGGGGACCCAATTCTAAGTTGCCACTTGACAAACAGCAGTGGTCCTAATTGAGGTACACCTTACTGCAAATCTTGTGACCAACTGAGCCATTGGTTTTAGCCAACTAAGTTTTCCTGATTCCTTTTTTTTTTTGGATTATTTTATACCATAGAAAGATATCAAATTTCTTGTTAAATTTATTTTAAAAGGATAGCTAATCTCTTATTCCAATTTGGAGTATATAACGTCATATCTGCCACCTATGCTCATACATCTTTCATATCTGCTACTATAATAGAAAATCAAATTATTAAAATGCTTTTAGTGCCAAAGTAGTTAAGACATGACAAAAGTAGAAACATATTTCCTTAAATAAATTGAGATGTTTTTTTCAGCATCCTTAATTTTAATTTCTAGTTTCAATATTACACTAATGCAAGCTCACCTGAGAAGAATAATATTGTAGAGTGTATGTATATTTAGACCAGACTGCATTTCATAAAAAATATACTACTATAATTTTACAAAGTGTAACGAGGTTTTTTGTATACTCCTTCCGGTATATACTTTTTGTATTTTAAATTATTTCACACCCTTTAAAAAGATATTTAATAGCTTAATCATAACAATATCAGTTCTCTCCCTTAAACATCTTAATAAACTCTCCAGTAAATGAAACAGTAGGAGTAGATGAGAAAAAGTGATAAATGATTTCTTATTTTAAAAAATATTAAATATTTAAAGGAAATTTTAATTTATAAAAGACTAATATTTAGACTAGAGGGAGTAAATCAGATACAACAACAACAATAATAAAATCTAGTGTAATCTAACAGGTGGAGTCTGAGGAGGATAACGTGTATGCAAATTTTACCCTCATTTTATAAAGGTAGAGAGATTACTTCCGATAAACCCTCTCGACATAGAGTAAATTAGATGTCGTAAGAAAACTAAGTACGGGGAAGTTTCTATCATTTGGAAATTGGAATGAGAGAAAAAATGATAAATAAATTAAGAAAGGACTGCAAAAACAATAGAGGGTGATGGGACCATATTGGACCAAGGGTCCAAGTTGGTGAAGACTGGTGCCTTATTAGTTTCCTTGTGGTGTAAATGAAAAATATCCCAACAGCTGTTCTCCAGTTGTAATCCAATTACCCAATCCAACTACAATTCCTCTTCAGTCTTTCCATCTTCATAATAAAACCAAACCCTCAAAAGAGTCCAAGACTTTTGCATTATTCATCCCTAAAGTTTGTGCCGTTCTGTTAGTTGCAGTAATGTTTTTCTTCTTTACGATTTTTCCTTTATCTTTTTGGTTCTCTTGTAGAAGTATTAAATTATATCATTTTCAACAAGGGAAAATGAATTACCAACTATAAAGCTAATTTCCGTATCATTTTCATAGAAATTTGTTTTAAAGAATACTCATTGTTTTTTTTTTTTGAAAACGAAGTGTGTGTGAGTTGTTTATTTCAAGAATGACCAACCACCTGTATACTTTTTCTTTATAATTAGAAAAGAGATTTTTACTTTATTTACATCAAATATTTAATCGTGTATCAAAATATGAGGTAGTAATAATTTCCCAAGAATGTATCAGGATAATTTTAAATTTAGGAATAAATTTGATGGGAATAAAAGAGTTCATACTAGTATTTCAATCTTTTGTGAAACTAAGTTCGTGAGTCTTGAACGTAGACAAAATATTGAACAAAGCGACTTGTTGTGTTAATAACTTTTCTTATTCACCCCGTCTTAATAACATTATATTTGAAATATTACAGAAAATTCATCCTCCTAAGTTAATAGATACTAGCACTTTTGCTTTAATACACTTCACGTTATATAATAATATATCTAGTTTATCCAAGTCTAACTTAAAATTTAAAATATCACACAAAATTCACTCGCCTAAGTCAAAACATAGCACTTTTGCTTCAATAGACTGCACATTATATGATAACATTTCTAGTTTATCCTGATCAAATACTCAAAAATAAGGTCTTAGTAGTGAAGTGCAAACAAAAAGATTAGGGGAAAAGTATTAATAAATTTTTAAAGATTAGGGTGTAATAAGAAGAAAGCACGAATATAGGGGCATAAAATTCAAAGAAGCCCTGATAACATCCCCACAGGCCACAACCCAATAGAAATGTAGGAAAAGAAATAGAGCACTTTGGAAAAAGACAAGTTTAGAGGCTTTAGGCACACCAAATGCTTGATTAATTGACGGAGAGAACAGAGATGCTCCTTGCTGGCGCACCTTCTATGCGTACGTGCCCACAGCTCATTCCGCACGCACGCCTATGCACTTAGTTAATACTACTCCTACTACTCTATTAATATTATTTATTATATATATATATATATATATATATATGCTTGCCGTCATTTCCACTTTCTTCCCAAAAATTCCCATCTTTCTTCTTTCTCTATTAACAGCAAAACCCAACAACACTAAACACGAAAGGACTAATGGATCCATGTCCTTTCGTGCGTATTGTGATCGGAAGTTTAGCCTTAAAGTTCCCGGCTGAATCGAAACCACCACCCACTGCGACTTTTGACTGTAAAATCAAGCTTAAAGGTTTCTTGACACATAGTACAACAATCCCAGCGTTTATTCAAGAAAAAGATGCAATCTTGGACAACAGAATCCATGCTTGTTTTAACTTCAGTAAGTCAGAGCTTATGAAACTCGTTGAGAAATCGAATAATAGAGGAAAACCCTGTAGTTTAAAGATTGAAATATATGAGGATAATATGGGTTTTGGGTGTTTCAACGGTGGAAGGCTATTGGGGAGTGTTTTGGTGCCATTGGATTTGAAGAGTTTGGAGAATATTGGGCATAGAGGTGTTATTATTCAGAATGGGTGGGTTTCTGTTGGTGGGTCGTCTACTGCAGAATTGAATTTGAACGTTAGAGCTGAACCTGACCCAAGATTTGTTTTTCAGTTTGATGGAGAACCTGAGTGTAGTCCACAAGTTTTTCAGGTCAATGGCAAAAACAAGCAACCGGTTTTTACTTGCAAGTTCAGTTTCAGAAACTCCAGTGACCGGAACTTGAGATCCAGGTTTGTTTAGTTAATCCTTTTCTTTTTTTCAATTAGAAAAATAATTGGATTTTGTCATAATCGTTTGATTGTACGCAACACGTTTTGACCAATTTTCAGACCTTGAATATGGTACATAAGGTTTTACATGCTAGTATTCTAGCTCTTAAACAAATTGTAGTTTTAGGGTTTTTTTAGTTCAATTGCCATAAGGTTCAATTTAGTTGTTCATAAAAATCCAACTCTTTATCTAATTATCTACCTTACTAAGTCGTTGACAATATCAACAAACTAAATAGTTTACTCTATCGTTTTTGATTGATTAGCTCATATGCTTTAACTTAACTTTTTAAAATAAGCAATCAATCAGCCTGGATAACTAATATTTCTCGATATATTACCGATTGTTGAATGGGTTGATATAATTTTGTTATTGAAAAAGGGTATCTAATATGAATCTGTTATTATGTACAGATCGTCACTATCAGAACCAAGTACATCAACAAGCTGTTTTAGTTCTGATAAAGAGAGACCCGTAAAAGAACGAAAAGGATGGTCAATTACAGTCCATGATCTATCAGGTTCACCCGTTGCAGCAGCATCAATGGTGACCCCATTCGTCCCATCACAAGGTTCGGATCGGGTCAGCAAGTCAAATCCCGGATCCTGGCTCATACTCCGACCCGGTGACAACACGTGGAAGCCATGGGGCCGCCTCGAAGCGTGGCGAGAAAGCAACGGCGAGCTCGGCTACCGCTTCGAGATCATTCCCGACGGAGCCACCGACGCCATTACATTAGTCAATTCTACAATCAGCACAAAAAAGGGTGGCAAAATCGGCATAGACATTGTCAACGGAGCGACCCCGTTGAGTAGCCCGAACAGCAGCTTCGACTTAAGTTCAGGGTCAGGATCCGGGTCGGACTTCGGGTCACAACCCGGATCAGGATCATGGGCGCATCTGCTGTACAGAGGGTTTGTGATGTCGTCGACGGTAGGAGGTGACGGAAAATGCAGCAAACCGGAGGTGGAAGTAGGGGTGCAGCACGTGAGCTGTGCGGAGGATGCTGCGGCTTTTGTGGCGTTGGCAGCTGCCATGGATCTAAGTATGGATGCTTGTCGGTCATTTTCTCAGAAGCTTCGGAAAGAATTGAGGCAGCAAGATCAAGAATTATGGTGAAACGGGTCGGGTCGTAACGCTCAAATGGGTTGCTTCGAGTTTCAGTTTGATTTTTGCTAATTAACTAACTGACAGCAGTTTTTAGCTGGCTTTTATTTTTGTCTATTAATTATTATTACCTTTCCTGAGTGTACAGTGCTAAGACAACTGTTTCGTTTGAGTTCTTTTTTCTTCCCCTTTATGTATTTATTGATTGAATTGTAATATAATGATTTTGAACTTGCGTTACATGAATCTCACTCATTTTAACATTCCTCTTTTGGATGAGTGACATTGAGTATCTTTTGTAAATTTATCAAAATATATTTAAAACTACTATATATCAAGCACTTACTTTCATTAACACTTCTTTTGATATGTTTTTCAGGATTAATTATATCCGGATTGTTATCTCATTCTCTCACATAGAGATAAAAATAATACTATAATTTTGAGATAACTATACTTTAGATTAGTTATATCCCGATTTTATTACGATTAAACACGAGATTATCTCTTCTCAAACTTAATTTCGAAATTAATTATTCGTTATCTCTTGTACTGAACAAGCCCTTAATATTTTAGTACATTGATAAGGTAATGTAGTAATGATTTTTGCCCTACCTTTCAATGAATCTGACTTGTTTTAACGTTATCTTTTTTAATGAATGACACTAGTTGAGTCTTATTGGGTAAAACTTTCAAAATATTTTTTTTCCCGGAAAACTCCGTATATATAAGCTTTCATATTGTCAATTTCAAGCATGGATTAAAAAAAAAAGAAAAAGAATTGCCTTAAGTTGATGGTTAGCATAGTAAATTTATGGACAGCGAAAATTTATAAAGTCAGCATCACCTTGCTTTATATTGAAACATAATTATAATTATTATTATTATTGTTGTACGAATCGTTATTGATTAATAGCTTTCGTTAACCTGAAAGATTACACAATGTAAAACTCTAACAAAGAAATTGCATTTTGTTTTTAAGGAATGAAGTTGGGGACAGGAAGTGGGAATCCAAAGTAGGTTTATATTTGTCGCTTTTCTTGGTAGGAATCCAATGTATATGGTTTCTAGGCTGGCATGCATTAGGCATCAGGTGGGCTTTGGATCTGGCAAATACATGTCTTATTATAATAGCAATTCAAATTAATCAAATAAAGAGTACGACATATCGATTAAACAAGTCAATTTTATTTGCATCATTTAGCAGTACACGTGTGAATGAACTTGGTAGGATAAGAATTAAGACATGGCTGTAATATGTGGAAATTTATCTGGTTTTGATAATGTTTATTGGTGTAGAACAGCCCATTTTTGGGTGATTGTCTATTTTGTTTTCTTCTTCTTCTTTTCTATTGAATTCTCACATGGGTGTTGGACGAAGTAATAGAGAGCTGGGAACAGCAAGGATAACATCCTTAATTTCTTACTTCTATTTCACCTGACCTATTTGACTAAATGTTTACCTTCTCACACTACAGTTTTCCAAATCCAAAAAACACAACATGCTCAATGCTCGCACCATGCCTGCTATTTCCTCGTCTTATGATTAAATATATTGCATATAGATGTTCTCAACACACACCGAAAGACAATAACAATCCTAAACAGATCTTTTCGTGTTTAAAATTTATTTACATGTCAAAGATCGGATTTAAGACGTACTTGGTGAATAGAGCCTCGTTTCAGAATTTTCTTCGATAATGCAAAGACTATGCGTATCCACACCGAGACCATAGAGTCGTTTCAGAATTTTCTTCGATAATGCAAAGACTTTATGCGTATCCACACCGAGACCGATCTTTGCTATCAACTTTGTTTACCCGAAAGATGGATAGAGTTGAATTTATACGCAGTTCCGAAGATATGTGGTGCAACTTAATACAAAATGCAAGGATAAATAAAATATGAATATAGACTATGGAGAATGTAATTTAGACAAAGCAATCAAGAATAATGAACCTTAGGATTTAACAAATAGAATCAATCTAAGAAACTGGAATAACCACTCTTTCTTGTAGAGAAAATAATACTTTCATTATAGTGTAAATCTCAGAAAAGGATATCCTCTACAGAAATGATAACCAAGCCCTTTATAGTGAAAGGATTTGGCTCCAAGCATAATAAAAATAAACATTCAGTGGGAGACCCATGATAAATCAGCTTTTTCATAATTTCTGCCAAGATTCCCTCTAGTGGAATTACAACGGCTTTTNTTTCTTACTTCTATTTCACCTGACCTATTTGACTAAATGTTTACCTTCTCACACTACAGTTTTCCAAATCCAAAAAACACAACATGCTCAATGCTCGCACCATGCCTGCTATTTCCTCGTCTTATGATTAAATATATTGCATATAGATGTTCTCAACACACACCGAAAGACAATAACAATCCTAAACAGATCTTTTCGTGTTTAAAATTTATTTACATGTCAAAGATCGGATTTAAGACGTACTTGGTGAATAGAGCCTCGTTTCAGAATTTTCTTCGATAATGCAAAGACTATGCGTATCCACACCGAGACCATAGAGTCGTTTCAGAATTTTCTTCGATAATGCAAAGACTTTATGCGTATCCACACCGAGACCGATCTTTGCTATCAACTTTGTTTACCCGAAAGATGGATAGAGTTGAATTTATACGCAGTTCCGAAGATATGTGGTGCAACTTAATACAAAATGCAAGGATAAATAAAATATGAATATAGACTATGGAGAATGTAATTTAGACAAAGCAATCAAGAATAATGAACCTTAGGATTTAACAAATAGAATCAATCTAAGAAACTGGAATAACCACTCTTTCTTGTAGAGAAAATAATACTTTCATTATAGTGTAAATCTCAGAAAAGATGTCCTCTACAAAAATGATAACCAAGCCCTTTTATAGTGAAGGGGTTTGGCTCCAAGCATAATAAAAATAAATATTCAGTGGGAGAACCATGATAAATCAGCTTTTCCATAATTTCTGCCAAGATTCCCTCTAGTGAGATTACAGCGGCTTTTGTCTGCAAGATCGATCTTGCTTAGAATCCTCGATTTTGGTTCGAGCTTGATTTCG